TCCTGAAATAATACTGCCCCCTCAAATACTACTGCCCTTTAGAGGAGGGTTGAAATTGTCAGGAAATCTGGTATATTCAATTCTTTGTTTAATTTAAAATTAAAGAATAAATTTATTAAAATTTCTTTTCACCTTTTCACAAAATTCAAATATATAATTTAATAAATATTTTTAAATTTTAAAGAATCAGCAGAAATGGATTTGGGCAATAAACGTCCAAGAACAACAATTTCAGCAAAAAGTTTAGAAATGTTAAAACATGCATATCAATGTAGTAATAAACCTGCTAGACATATTCGTGAACAATTAGCTAGCCAAACTGGTTTGGATATGAGAGTTGTTCAAGTTTGGTTTCAGGTATATTTAATTAATTTTGAAATAATTAAATTATTTTTTATAGAATCGGCGTGCTAAAGAAAAACGTTTAAAGGTTGAGTTATTTTAATAAGAAAAAACACTTTTAACATAGGAAATAACTTTAAAAAATAAAAATTAGTAAATACAATAATTATGTAAATGAACTGATAAACTTGTAACTTTCGAAAGTTGTTTCGGTTCCTTGAAATTTTTTGTGTATCCGAAACAAACTGAAAAATCAGCAAAAAGCTTAGAAATGTTAAAACATGCATATCAATTCTCTCTCTAACCGACAATTCTAAATGTGGGGGCAAAAACAGGGGATAAAACCAGACCTGCTCACGGATACTGATTCTGATATCCGTATCCGGATGTTTACGACTGATACAGGCGGATATCCGAGGCATCTTGATATTTTCTGTATCCATATCCGTATCCATAAGCAGGTCTGGATAAAACCATCAAATTTTTTTAACTAAATACACTCAAAATAATTTCAAAAATTAAATAAAAATATTCTTTTAAAGAAAGATACACATCGTCGTTATTTATCAAATAATCAAAGCGATCAACATTCTCCAGATTGTTTCAGTATAGATATGAGAAGTAATGGGAGAGGTTGTGGAAGTGGTCCCAGTTCTGTCCCTTCATCTATTGGATTACAAAATTTATTTGGAAGGAATGGAACTATAGATTCTGATTCTGGAGCGTCTAATAATGATGCTGAAAGTCCAATTTATAGTAAAAATATTTATTTCTTTTAATTTAATTTTAAATTTAAATAATTAGGTATATACACAAATCCATCAGAAATTGATGTAGATGGAAGTGGAGAATTTTGCCGTAATATTAATTTTATCTTTATTAAAATATCCTTTTTTTTATTTTTTAGCAGATCAACAAACAACATTAGATGGAGGGGAACAACAAAGACAACAACAACATTACCATAATCAACAATTAAATGTTGATTCCTTCCCAACAGGAATTGTTGTATCAGAACAATCAAAAACTGTAATTATTTTTCGGAAAAAATTATTTTAATATTAAAATTAAATTTTAAATCTAAAAAAAATAAATTTTTCTTTATTACTTTTACAGAAAATCTCTCCAAAATATATTTTTCAATTTTTAGCCCCAACCACCTCAACAACAACTTTTTTCATTTGAACAACAATTAAATATTTCAACAACAAATCAACAACAGCAACATTCTCAACCATCTACCCCCCAACAATTAAATAATCCAAATCAGTCAATTAATAATAATTTAATCTTTTCACCTCCAATTAGTTCAATTAATTGTTCACAACCTTCACAGGCAGCTTTGCTAGCTGAACAACAATATTTACTTGCTGCTGCTTTTGGTAATTAATTTTGAATTTTTCTAACTGCGTCTGACCGTTGAGCTCTAAAATATAGATATTGGTATAGTCAATGATTTTAGCTGGCCTTATAAATTATTATTGTGATTTCCTTCCCTTAATTTTCTTTTTTTTTCTTAAAGATTTCTCCTATTCTTGATTTAAAAAAGAAATAAAATTTTAATTATTTAGTTTAATATTTTCTTAAATTTTTATGTGCCCCAACCCAACCAATACAACTTAACCAACCTTTTCTTATGGTTGGTGGAATACATCAACAACAACAACAACAAAATCAACAACAATTTCCCCCAACTTCAACACCCGAATTTTACCAACAAAATTTTAATGGAATTAATTTGCCATCTACTACTCAAAATATGGCTATACAATTTTCTCCATTACAAATGCATCCTTCACATTATAATCCAATTACCCAATGAATTTTTGATGGAAGATAGTGAAAGAAAAATATTTCTGGAAAAAATTATAAAAAAATAATTTTTGTAAATACAATTATGAAAGCCCTCTTAAAAATGAAGGCCCTCCCTTCCCCCTTCTTTTCCTTTATTCTTTAATGTTAATTTTTATTTTAAACTCTGATAATTCCAAATCCAAAATATTATAAAATGTTAGATAAAAATGTAATTGTTTAATATTTTTTATATTCCAAATAATATTTTGGAATTATCCAAAAAGAATTAGAAAGGCATTTAAACTGTTAAACTGTTTATTTTATACTTCTTCTTTAATGCCTAACATTTCCCCCAATGGATTCTTTATTATAAAATTAACTCATTTGATTTATCTAAATAATTAAGTTGACTAAAAAGACATCGTTTTCAATTTTCATGCCTTGTAAATCTGCGCCAAGGAAATTTAAAAAAACAGCCAAGGAAATTTAATGTTTGGCATTAACGGGAAATTATCGTTCATTTTTTAACTGCCCAAAATTTATTTAAAGTTTTGACATAAAATTTTTATAAATTTTGTGCTATATTCTAAATATACTTAGGGTGTAACATAAATAATTAGCCCCCCTTGAGCGAAGTTAAATAAATATTTATTAAAATTAAACTAAATGTTTTCAGACTTCGAATTATATTTTTCTATGTTCCTAAGAGAGTTGCCTATTTTCTGGCAAAAAATCAGAATCCTAGGATTAAGTTGGCATTAGTTAGAGGTGAAATACTAAAACTTGTATTTTTGAAACGAGGCAAATTCTTTTTGATTTTTCTTTTCAAAATTGATGAGTAAGAATAAAAATTTAAATAGATTCTGATAGAGCAGAATCTGATGAATACAATGATATAAGAAATTCGCCTGGAAAACATCTGGCTGATTTTTTAGAGGGTCGTATTTGTGAAATAGGGGCTAACATTATGCTGCTTTAGGATAACCCTCGCGCGAAAATGCCCAGCGAGGCCAGGAGACCAGATTTTTTGATAGACTCGATCTATTTAGGAACATTACTATTTGGGGGTAATAGTTCAGCCAGTTTCATCTAATTTCCAATGATTACACCTCCGCAACACCATCAAATACATAACAGATCACGCTGTTGGACCAGTCTGGATTAGAGGTCAAAATTGATAGTTAGCTGGGATGAGCCGTTCCTTTTTGTTTACAGAATTCATGAAGGCAACCCACACTTCCTCATAGGTTAAAATTTGTTTCAAATAAGGAGCTTCATTGTGGCATTTAAGGGGTTGATTTTCAAAAGTGACTTAGTGATTTTTTTGATTTTGCGGCAATTCATGGGGTATCAATCGACTCTTCATAACTTGATACCCGCTTCAAGTAAAATTATGTTAATTTTTGTAAGTGAGCAGGTGAGTGCCTGCCCCAATATACACATTTTATTTTTTGGATTCGCTTTGAATCAGCGGAGAACGGCATTCTTATCTACCGTTGGTTGGCATCCAAGACGTTCTTTGCCTTTCTGCTCTTCTCTACCTTTCTTTTATTTGGAAAGCCAAATTTTTTCCGTGGAATACGAGATAACATCCCCATACTTCACTTTGCATATTTTGCGCCATGATTCCTTTTCCAAATGTCCAAGTTCAATCTCATATTTGAACTGGACGCTAATTTCATAATTTTGCCTTAAACTTTAAAAATTCATAAAAAATTTTTAAATAAAGAAAAAATTTCAAAACTTTCAGAAAAAGAAGAAGGCATTATTGTGAATATATGACAAAAAAATTAAACAGATTGGAGATCTGAACATTGAGATATACATTTTCAAACTTTAATGATTTAAGGGGGGCTAATTATTTATGTTACACCCTAATAATTAATTTTTACTGCTAGTCATTTTTTTTAATTTTAACAATTTTTTTAATTGTAGCAAAATACATAAATTAAAGTTAACCCATAAAAATGTGATTTTTTAAATAAATTTTTTTGTAATTAACACTCATATTCTTGTCTAAGAAATAAAATAACAAATTTATTAACATTTAATTTTTAAGCGAAAAATATAAAATTTTTGATAGGTTATCTATTTTAAATGTTTTTTTTCTTTTTCTCTTTTCTTCTTTAACTTGTTACATCATCGAATAGCCTGCAAAAATAAAAAATAAAAATTATTTATTTAATATTTTTTAACTGTATAGGAACATTTCCACCAATTTCTCGACTAATTAATTGTTCCAAAATTTTATTTTTAGTAGTAAAATAATCAGTCATTATCCACTCATTTCCCTCTTCAAATTCAGTATCTACAAATAAACTCCAATGCATTTTAATTTTATTTTCGTCATTAATTGGAGGGGGAATGTTTTCCTTTAATTTTTTAAATTCTTCAATGAACTCCTCAACTTTAAAATATTTTTCATCATTTTCAGTTTCGTTAGTAAATAATAATGTTTTTATATTCTAAAAAGGAAATTTGTTTTTTAAATAAAAACAACATACAGGGCAATATTTAATTGCATCTATTGCAAGTTCAGTTGAAAGAGGGAAGTTGATTAGCAAATACTAAGAAAAAATAATGTTTATATTTAAAAATTAAAGTTAAAATTTAAATTTTAAATAATTCACTGAATTTTTAGTTAAAGAGAATAAATTTGGGAATTTAGACTTTTCAATTCATTTAGTTAAAGGTACAAATAAGTACTTGAAAACTCCAAACAAATGTCTAAAAATTAATAGACTTTCAGTAGGGTTGTCCCCGCCGGGGGAGCGGGGGGGGGGGGGGGGGGGGGAGGGACGGGGAATTTTCAAAAAAAACTCTCAAATTCCCCAACTTTCGGGGACGGAGTACAACCCTTTCTTTCAGTGAATCATTTTTCGTCTATTTACCTCCAATTTCCCTTTCCGAATTAATTTACTCAAAAATTTCAAATAATCAGCATGATTCAAAGGTAATTTATTTCGAGAAAATATTTTTAGTGTAAACGATCGCAATGCAGGAAACAAAGCAATTGGATCCAAATATTTGTGTAGTTTAGAGTCTACATACCCCATACTATATAATTCAAGATGCTCTAATTGAGGAAACATTTCTGGCACAAAACGTAAGAGAACAAACTAAAATAAAAATATTTAATTGAGGATTATTTCAAATACAAATTTAAATTCAATTTTTACCTCATCTCTAACAATCCCCATGTCAAAAGCCGTTAGTCGTTGTAAAAAGTTTGGAGTAAACCCATTAACATCATCTGCAAAAAGACGAGCATAAGGAAGACAAAGCACTTTAAGATGCTCAAATGCTTGTACTTGCTCATTCAAATCTTCCATATTCTCTAATGAAAGCACTGTCTACATATAAATAAAAATATTTTAAAATTAGGAAATATGAAAGAGCGAGACAAATCCGAAGCTTACTTACAATATTTGGTGCTCGTCGATGAATATTTCGAAGAACACTAAAATTAAATTAAAATTTTTACTAAAAACTTTTTAATTACTTTTGTGTATTCTTCATTTGAAAATCATCCAAAAAGAAAATTCGAAGGCTTCTCGGCAATTGTTCTAATTGACATTCTAAAAATAAAAATTATAAAAAATATCAGAATAATTTCTTTTTTACTAAAATTGTCGCAATTGGAAATTGAAAGGATTTGGAGATGTTTAAGTTGTTCTAACATTAAATTGAAGCATTTAATTGTGGAGAAATGCTAAAAATAGAGGGGGATGTTTAGAAGTAATTTGAAATAAATAAATAAACTTACAAAAGTGCACCTTTTGATAATTAGTGATTTTAGATTAGGCAATCGTTCTCCAATCTCTTTAAGTTCTGAACCACAAATTGAATGTAAAGAATCAATGCAAAGATGCTCAACTCTATAGCCTAAATGGAGGAGGCGAAAGATGCGGTCTTGCTTCAACATTGCGTGTATTGTCAATTCTAAACAGTAACGAGCACATCTCTTCATTAGAAGACGGAAGAGATAACGACCCTGAAAATTTTGAATTTTTATTTTTAATCTCGATTTATTCTCTTACATCAATAGAGTAATTATATTCCTCGTCTAAAACTACATCTGGGACAACAACTACATGTTCTTGGATATTCCAACTCCTTTTAGAGGCCGACTGGAAGAGGCGAGAGACGTGTTCCATATTAAACCGATCATTTATTGGCAAAGATTGGAAGCAACGAATCTTAAAATTTTAAAAGATTTTAAATGAAACTAAATCTCGTTTAATACCAAAATCAATTCACCCAACTCAGAAAGCTGAGTTTGTTTTGGATTTAACATTTGTGGAGTTGGGGAAGGTTCTCCTTGAATTGGCTGTAGTTGTTGTTGAAGTTCAAGCTGGCGTTGAGTAGGTACTCGGCGATTGTATGGGCGTCTGTACCAAGTGTAGACAATGCCATCCTCTCCAATCGCCTGCAACATTCGACCTTGCCGAGACATCTTTGACGATAGTAGACGGGCAGGTAAACCGTGAAGGGTTAGTTAATGAGTTTGATATTGAATCTAAGTGATCATTTTTGGATCCTTTTATATAATCTGTCAGGATTCCTTTAGTACTATGATGTTTTTAGTCTATTGGTGGAATTTTTTAAACTTATATTTTGGAGAAATTTATAGAAAGTATGTTCCTATGTTTAATAGGAAGTTAATATAAGAAATTTTAATTTTAAATCAGTAGTAATCAAGTGGATAGAATTTTTGGATGTTTAGATGACAAAAAAACTATAATTTATGTAATTTGATTGAACAAATTCAATTTCTATATAACGAGAGTAGATTTTAAATGCTGCATTTTTGATAAAACCCGCGATAGTAACTAAAACTCAATAATACACGAGAGAATTTTAAAATTAAAAAGTCACAAGTTCAACTCGAATTTTATTTAATCCAAAATGCTTATGTTAGTATAAACTAAAATACACACTATGTGTATTAATAAATACAAAATAAGTTACAAAATCTTTATATGTAGGTAAATTATTACATTTCTTCTGCTAAATAAAAGTTTAAATTTTAAAAAGCTACTTATAATATAATTTCTTTTATTTTTTCTGGGTATGATTACAACGCAAAAAATAAACTTCGAGATTAATAGTATATGGACCAGGGTTGCCGCCCGAAACCCGAAACCCGGCCTTTTTTTGTACCCGAAACCCGATACCCGAAATGAAAATTTTCCAACCCGAAACCCGTACCCGAAGATTTTTGTACCCGCGGCAACCCTGATATGGACATAAGCAAAAAATATTATAATAAACATATTTATTTACAAACAATATAGAGATTACAATATTTAATTAGTTAATTATACTATTTTCGAGTATTATTATTCTCATATTCTTTAAATTCGTTAACAAATAATTCCTTCAATACATGACTTCCTCTTATATTTTCTTTACATTTAATCCATTCATTTCCTTTTTCGAGTTTAGTCCCTTTAAACAAATTTGCCAGCATTACAACTTTTTTAGAAGCAGAAACTGGAGGGATTTTGTTTAATTTTAGTTGTTCAAATCTCTCAATAAATTCAATTGCTCTGAAATAATCTTCCTCCTCGTTTATATTATTTGGATTTGAACTTTTATAGAAATATAGTGAACGGATTTTCTGAAAAAAAATAAAATTAGATTAATTTTAAAAAAAATAAAAATTACAGGGCAATGTTGGAATACACCAATCGCCATTTCAGTTGTGAGAAGCAAGTTGACTTTCAAATGCTTGAAAATAAAAAAAGTGTTTCAAGAGGGAAGAGGAAACAATTCTTCTACTCACCTCCAACTTCCCTTTCTCATACAATCTTCTCATAAAATTCAGATATTCAGCCCGACGGATTAATTTTTTCGCTCTGGTATAAACTCCCAATGAGATTGAACGCAATGCTGGAAACTCCACAATTTGACCCAAAACTGTGTGGTAATTAGTTGTGGGGTTCTCAATGATATCGAATTTAATGTGCTCCAATTGTGGAAAGAATTCTGGACGAAAGCGCATAGAAATAAACTGAAAAAAAAATAAAATAATTTTGATGGAGATATGTAGTCTGTGTAAAGCATATAGCTATTTAATTCCTAACGCTAACGGATAACACATCAGTCCAGTCTACCGAAGATGCTGGTTCTCTCCCAATCGCCGAATAACCTTTTACACTAGCTGAAGGAGAGAAATTGCTACTAGCCCAGCTCTGCTTTATTTATAATACTTACATTCTCACTAACAACAAACAATTCGAGAGCCTTTAATTGTTGCGAAAAGTTAGCAGGAAACAAATCGGGCAGAATAACATCGTCTAGAATTGGAGAATAATGAAGACTAAGCACTTTTAGATGTTCAAAATCCTGTAGTTGATTAACTACATCCAGAGATCTACTTTCGATTGTAAGCATGGTCTTAAAAATATTTTTTAAATTAAAATAAAAGATTGTCAAGATTACGATATTCGGTGCCTGTCGACGAATATTTCCGATAGCGCTAAAAATAATTATTTTTATTAAGAAAATTTAAAAGGGAAGAAATGGTGGGGAAAAGGGGAATAGAACTAGAGGTTGGCGTAGGATAGGATCCCGCACAGAATTTTTCAGGATCCTGTCCGAAATCCTGCCTTTTTTGTTTTCAGGATTGTCAGGATCCCTCAGGATTAATCCTGAGGGATCCTCCCCTGTTCGAAATTTTAAAACCCAATCCTGATACAGGATCCTGCAAATGTGATTTTACTGACCTCTAAATGAACCAATTTTCCCCCTATTTTTAACTATCATACATAAACTCACTTTGCACTATTCGCAACATCAAATAAATTCAGATTCAGAATTCGAAGACTTCGAGGCAATTTCTCAAGTTCAGATCCTGAAAAACATTTTTTAATAATTTTTTGTAAATTTTTACAAACTAAAATTTGTGCAACGAACAACGGCAAAAGCTATAAGACGTTGGAATTGTTCTAACATTAAATTGAAGCCATTAATGGTATTGAAATGCTAAAAATTGAAAGGGGAAAGATTGAAAAATAATCTTTAAAAAAACTTACAAGTTTACACTTTAGAATAATTAGAATTTTGAGATTAGGTAAACGTTCTCCAATTTCTTCAAGTTCTGAGCCACAAATTTGGTCTAATGATTCCAATTGGAGACACTCAACTTTATAGCCCAAATGGAGAAGGCGAAAAATGCGTTCTTGTTTCAACATTGAGTTTATTTGTAGACTTAAGCAATAACGAGCACATCTTTTCATTAGAAGACGAAAAAGATATCGAATCTTAAAAGTTAAAAATAAATTTTCTCGAGTTTAAAGACTTGTCTTACATCAATTAAATAAGTGCCTTTTTTCAAAGAGGCCGGTGGGACAGCTAACTGTTTTTGGATGTTCCAACTCCTTTTAGAGGCCGACTGGAAGAGGCGAGAAACGTGTTCCATGTTAAACCGATCATTTATTGGCAAAGATTGGAAGCAACGAATCTTAAAATTTTAAGAGATTTTAATGAAACTAAATCTCGTTTAATACCAAAATCAATTCACCCAACTCAGAAAGCTGAGTTTGTTTTGGATTTAGCATCTGTGGTGTTGGGGGAGGTTCTCCTTGAATTGGCTGTAGTTGTTGTTGAAGTTCAAGTTGGCGTTGAGTAGGTACTCGGCGATTGTATGGGCGTCTGTACCAAGTGTAGACAATGCAATCCTCTCCAATCGCCTGCAACATTTGACCTTGCCGAGCCATATTTGATGCTGTGATGGTAGATATCCGAGGTGAAGAGAATACGGGACCGCAACAATGCAAGCAGCGTGAGTTAATGAGGTATGGTTGTTGGCAGCAAAAATGTGTTGGCTTTTATAATCGGGATTTAAAGATAACTAAGCCTAATTTGCAGTGGCATCTTTAAATCTCGATTATAAAAGCCAACACATTTTTGCTGTTCACAACCACACCCAATTAACTCACGCCGCTTGCATTGGTCGCTGTCTCTAACCTGCTTGGCTCTTGGCACACTTGGCTTTGCTCGTCACGACGTTATCTTCCAAGGTACAGTTTATCTTGTTTATCTTCATTAATGTTTATCTTCACTAATTCCTTCCCTAATTTTTAGTCATCTGTATACCTTCCTGCGCTTATCTCATTTCCGGAGCTCTCAACAGATTCTTCAGGAATGCCGCCGCAGCTCGTCGAGTTATCGCCAGGGATGAAAGTTGCGGAGAAATGGACAATCATCAAAAAGCTTGGTGCCGGTGCATTCGGAGCTGTCTACCACTGCAAATTCGGCTTGAGGGAAGGGGCTCTCAAAACTGAGCCAGTCGATGCGTCAATGCCGCTACTAGCAATGGAGGCCCATGTTCTTCAAGAACTGCACCGCATAAAGGACGACCGTCACTTCACTAAGTGCTTCGACATCGGCAGGGACAGTCAGACCATTGGACCTGCTGGAAAGGTGTCCTTCAACTATATCGTGTAAGAATTTTGGATTACATACCTTTCTATACGGGTAGAATGGGGTTTTTTAGGGAGCAGTAAATTAGGCAGTAACTTAACTTTTTCTTTTAGGATGTCGCTGGTTGGCCCAGGACTGGACAAACTCGTCAAAGCTCGGCCTGGTCGACGCTTCTCTCCTGGTACAGCGATCGGCGTCTCAATTCAGATGGTCAACGCGCTACGGGCTCTTCATGGCATTGGATATCTCCACCGGGATATCAAGCCGGCAAACACGACTACCGGACGGAAGGAAGAGGGAGAACAGCAGATAATCTACGTGCTTGATTTTGGGATCGCGAGAAAGTTCATGCACTCAGATGGGTCGTTGATGCGTCCAAGGGAGTCTGCACGTTTCCGAGGGACTCCACGTTATGCGGCTACATCAGCACACATCAAAAGAGAATACGCACGTAAGGATGACATGGAATCCTGGTAAGTCACTGAGTTTCTTTCCTTCAAATCTTAACTTTTTCCCTGCTAGGTTCTACATGATGGTCGAAATCTATGCCGGCAAACTTCCTTGGAGCGGTGTCGGCGACATGGATGCGGTACGAATTTTTGAGAAATTCTTAACTAATAAATAATTAATTGATTTTGCAGATTGGTACGTTCAAAGAAGCTCGACTCCCGAACAATCCACTGAAGGTGCGAACTGATGCTGTGCGTGCCCTCGTCGCTGGTTGCCCTGATGAATTCATAACTATCCTGAGGCATATAGACGAGATGCGTTTCTACGGTCGTCCAGACTACAGCTGGATAATGAAGATGCTGCGCGCATATCTCACCGAGAACAGGATCCCTGAGCATCCATATGACTGGGAATGAGGAATGTGAAAGATAAAATTGAGATATTTCACCCTATTGATTTTCCTCATGATTGTATAAATATTTCGACATTCGTTTTCGCTATAATTGTATTTTACTGTATTGTATTGCTATATTTGTATTGTATTTGTATGTATATGTAAATAATTCTAATAAATTATTGTGTAAGGGTTTCTAATATTTTTTCAAATTCGGTTTAGGAAGGGCGAAATTCCCCGAGAAATTTCCCGGCTCGAGAATCGAGACCGAGAGTCTCAAGCATCACTACTGTGCTTGTATTAGAACTTTGGGTGAGTATAACTCTCTATTCCCATAAAAGATTTTACTGGAATAAAGTGAACTTATTACAAATATACTAAGTAGTTTGTACACGACAGTATTGGTTTGTAACACCTTTTAAGTCTGACCATTTTTTTACTCGTGGAAGAAAGAGAAAAAAAGGGGGGGTGGTACGAAGATCAATTTCACCCATTTTTATTTTACAAAATTATTTTCACATTCTTTACTTTAAATTAATTACAATGTAAGAAAATAATTAGTGTAAATTAATGAAAGATAAAAATCATTTATATTTAATTACTAACATTAATTTTATTGACTAATTTAATTTACATGCTTAATAATAAAAAAGAAAAATCATTAAATGTAAAGGTTGAGGACCAAAAAATAGAAGAAGATTGTTGCAATGAAAATATAGATTTATGCCAACAAAATATTAATAATAAAAATAATGGCCAACAACAACAAAAACCTTTAAAGGTTTTTTAAAAGATTTTTTGAGATTTAGAGAATTTTGAGAGGAATTTTACTTTAAATTCTTTAAAAATAGAATATTAAATTTTAAAAACTAAAAATTCAGAAGATTTGAAAATATTAACAAAATTTATTTTTTAATACAAAATATGTAACATTGAAAATCAAAAAAAATTCTAAAATCGAATTTTCAATTAAATTTTTGAAATCCTCTATTTAATCTTTGAATTCCTTCTAGAATTAATTCCACAATTTTGGAATTGTAATTTTAAGATAAAAATTAATTTTTAAAAAAATATATTTTTTATTTTATAGTTTCTAGCAAGTTTTTTGTTCATTTTTTCAATTGCCACGTCATGGGCTTTGGCAACACAATTTCGAAAATCTGTTATGGTTATAGACAAAAAACATGTTTTTGCTCCTTTCTTTATGGTTTAACTTTCCAAAAAAAAATATTTTTAATTTTAATTAAAAAAGGTTTGGTTTGGGACTTGTTTTATGTTTTTCTGTTATCCTTTATTTATTTTTTATTTTATTTGTTTAAAAAGAAACAAAAAATTATTAAAAGAAGAACATTTAAAAGCTTTACAAATTTTAAAATTTCAACAAAAATTTAAAAAAAGAATTGGACATTTAATTATTTTATTAATTTTGTGGACTTGCTCGAATTATTTATATGCTAGAGCTTTAATTAAAATATCTGCAAGTACGGCTACTTCAATAATGAGTACAAATAGTGCTATAGTTTATTTATTAGAGTGGATATTGTTGGGAGAGAATTTTAGTTGTATTAAGGTTTTCTTTGATTTTAAAATTTTTGAAAAATTTGATTGGAAAGGGAAGAAAAAAGAGAATTTTTTAAAAAAAAGAATTTCAACAAACTTTTAAAAAAGAACACAAAATTAACTGAAAATTTTGATATTTTTTGCCAAAAATTAACCGTTTTTGTGTGTCATAAAAACAAAATTTTTGGAAATGAGTGATTTTTAGCAAAAATCCCACAAAATAAAATCCGGTATTTAATTAACACTCAAAATCGAAAACCATTTTTTTAAATTTTGATTAACCAAAATAAGCAGGACTAGTCGATAATAAAGTTATCGGATCCAAATATCTGAAGATTTCCAACTTTCCGACAACCTTAGTTGATAACTGATTTTGTGCCCAACCTTTACCTAAATAATCCTTTTTTGAAAAACAAAAAATTTTGTTTAATTTAATTTAAAGACAATAGCAACAGCATTAGCAATCAGTGGAGTTGTTATTATTTCTTTTGATTCTGAATTTTTTGGGAATAACTTATCTGGAATTATTTTGGTTATTTTAAGTGCCCTTTTTGCTTCTTTTTATAAAGTAATTTATTTATTTTTAAATTAATTTAAAAAATTTATTTAAAGGTTTTTTTCAAAAAATTTTTCAAAAATTCTTCACTAAGTCAAATATCTTTATTTATGTCTTTATTGGGATTAACTAATTTATTTTTGAATGGAATTATTTCTTTTATTTTTTTATTTTGTGGAATAGATTATTTAAATTGGGAATATATACCTTGGCTAGAATTAATTGGAAGTGCCTTTTTAATTCTTTGTTGGTTTTTTTTATTAAATTAAAATAAAGATTACCGTTAGGGTTGGGGGTCCGGTCCGAATGTCAAAAAAATCCGGTCAAATCGGGCATCGAATTTAGGCCCGAAAAAGACCTCGGTCGGCCCGACTCGAAAACCCAACCCCCTAATTAATTTACTATAATAATTACCCTGGGTAATTATTGTTTCAATCTTTCGCTGAAGAGGGTAATTAATTAAGAAGGGCAATTATTTGAGGGGTTTTAGAAAGGCTTTTTAAGAGGTAATTATTTTTTGAGGGAAGGAGGGGTAATTATATTAAAGGATAAATATAAGTTTGAGAGGAGGGGTAATTAATAGGGAAAGGATTATTATTTGAGTAAATACAGTAATATCTTTACTTTAATTTTTCCTTTCAATTTATTTAAAAAATAATTTTAATTTTAAGTATTTAATTCCCTTGTTAATTTTGGGATTGTAATACTTGGGCCTTTAATTGTGTCTATTGGAATGATTTTTGGAATTCCTCTTAATACACGTAATTTTAAAATAATTTAATTTAAATTCATTAAAATAAATTACAGTAATCGATATATTATTTAATTCAATTTCAATAAATTATTTATTCATTATTGGCTCTATATTTATTTTAATATCTTTTATTTTAATTATTTTGCCACAAATTGAACAAAAATTTAATAAATCTAAATGTTGTTGTATTAAATTAGTAAAAGAAAAAGAAGAAAATTAAAAAAGGAAAAAATGATTGGGAAATAAATTATTTTATTTTTTGTGCATTTAAATATTTTTGTGCTATTTTTGAAAGTTTTTTTTAAAAGTGCAATAAATTAATAGTATTTTAAATTAATTTCTGGATAATTCAGAAAAATCAGAAAAAATATACTTTCTGTCCCTCACTCCTTCCTTTTATTTTTAAAATTTATTTTGTTGATTCAATTAATCTTTTTTGTAAATATTCCCCTAAATGAACTCTTTGACATTGACTTGAAAGCTTCTCAAAATCCTCATCTTTTGTAAGTCTACGCATTTCATTTGCAATACGAACATTTAATTTCTTTTAAAATTTAAAATAAAAATATTTAACAATAACAATAACTTACAATTAAAGTTTGTTTAGCAGATGGGCATGAATTACTTAATTGATTTACATAACAAATTGTGGCACATTCAACATTTCTAAAAAATAATAAAAAAAATATTTTTTGATGAATCTTTTAGTATTTATTTTTTCATAAATATTTCAGAATAAATTACAATAACCCCTTTTCCATTAAATATTACTTTACTCACTTGCAAAGCTGCTTTTGGCGTTCTTCTTTATTCATTTGTTTTTCTGCTGGTTGCTTGGCCACACATTTTTCTCGACAAACTTTTAAGAAAAAACTGTTATTCTTTGCTTTTTAACAATTTTATTTAACAGAAAATAATTTAAAAAAATATTTTAAATGATTAGTACAGACAAAATATTAAACCCCCCCCCCGCTTCTAGAGGTAATTCTTCCTTTTTAGCTACTTAAAAATCCTCTTAACCAAAAAGAAACCAGTTAAAAATAAACTAAATTTAAATTAATATATTCTAATTTTTATTAAAACAATTTTCTAAATAAAAAACAACACCAATATCAGCCTTATAAGCAGCTTCACGAAGGCAAGGAAGTACAGATTCAAGTTCCTCCTCAAAGTCAATACAATGTATTCGATAAAAAGTTGTGTATTGGAAGAATGCTGATTGGTCTTGGAGAGAACATTTTTGAGAACAATGGGCAGATTTATCTAATTTTTCACAGACTTTCTCATAATTTCTGTACATATTTGAAATTGACTTTTCAATTGTTGCCATAGGCTCCATACAACGTTGAAGGCATGGTGAAAGAGAACCAACAAAAAGTTTAATTAATTCATTGTAAAATGTAGGAAAAACAAAATAGAAGACTAAAAGTTGGGGACAGTGACCTATTTGGCATGAACATACATAATAGGTTAGCGGTGTTCCTGTCAGTCATGATTTTGCTTTCTCTCTTATATTAACCCTCCATAGTGTTTTAAATAAGGTTAGCGGTTTCTGTAAAACTGGTGTCTGAACCGAAAATTTTCTGATATTTGGATTTGTGTTGCTATCTTCCCTTCTCCCATTATTAATTATGTACTCACTTTCTTCTTGTGCTATTATGTAATTTAATTCGAAAATGGCAAATATTACTGTCAATAAGAAAATAATTGACATTGTTTTTTTAATAATTTAGAGGATATTAAATTTTAATTATTTTAGAGTTTATATTTGTAAAATAATTTGAAAATTTTTCTTAAAGAGAAAGTGCATAATAAGTTTTTTTCTATCAAAAGGTTAGTTTCCGCCCAACCAACATCATTAAAAATCTAGGTCGTTCGAGATCACAGCAACAATTTAATGTTCTTCACAAAATTAGTTGTCAGGAGAAAACATACTCTCAATTTTCTCCTTTCTCTTAAAAGTTCCCGTGTAAATCCCCTTAAAAGACATTTTCACAAAACTTGTTTATAAAAGGGATATAGCATATTAAAAAATATACCTATATTAATGTATTTGAAAATAACGTTTAAAAAATTATTTAATTTTATTTAAACATTTAAAAAGACAAAAACTAGCTGCGAAAGAAGGGAGGCAAAAGGTCTAGAGCAATATTTAGCACAACAAAAACATAAAATGCATGAAAGAGATCAACAGAACAAAATTAAAAACTTATAAAAATATTTAAAATATATGTTGACCAATTGAAAAATTTTGAGTGAAATTAATGAAATGGGCATTTTTTAAAACTAGTATGTATTTTTGAATAACAAAAACTAATTAATAAACATAAAGATAAATTTAATTATGGCCATCACTTTCTAATAAGACTAGGCAGAGCAAAATTTATAGTAAATAAACGCTAGTATTTTTTTATCAATTTCAATTTAATTATTCTGCCTAGCTGTTCTCTAAATTCCAAAACATTTTTATTAAATTAGTAGAGAGTAAAGCAAAACTTGAAAGTCTTGTCAAGATCAGGCCCGTAGCCAGGGGGGGGGGGTGAGGGGGGGAATTCCCCCCCCCCCCCCGAAATGGGAAAAAGGAAAAAATTTGGGGAAGGGCTGGGGCAAAAAAAGTGAATTTTTTTGGCCTACGGCCTCTGAAATTAAAAAAATTTTCGCCTGCGGCGCTAAAAATCAAAATTTTGGCGCCTGCGGCGCCGAAAGAGTGAATTTTTTTGGCCTACGACCTTCTAAAATTCAAAAAATTTTCGCCTGCGGCGCTGAAAATAAAAATTTTTGGCGCCTTCGGCGCCAAAAATTTGGCGCAAAAAATTTCCCCCCCCCCCCCCCCCCGAAAAAAAATCCTGGCTACGGGCCTGGTCAAGATTATACGTTCAATCAAAGTCTGGATCATTACACTGCGTGCAAAGTGGCTTGATTAGTTCAGACGTAGTTTGGTTGGACGTATAACCTGGACAAGGCTAACTTACAAAGAAAAAAACGTCAAAACCTTTTGACCAAGAAATTAATTCATAGTTTTGCCTGACTTATAGATTATTAGTGAGCACAATTATTAATGAAAGATGTTGGCAAAGAAGGAAAAATAAAGCTGTCAATTAAAAGCACCAAAGAATTAAAATAAAGGAATACAATAATTTCTACTAGCATGTACCTACCCCTAAACTTGATTTAATCTAATAAAATGTTTTAACCATTTAATCCACTAATTGAGTCAAAAATGTGCATCTCAGCAGCAGAACTATCTGTTCGTTCGATACGACCAAAGACACCAAGAGAAAGAGTGTCATCAGAATCAGACTCCCCCGGCTTTTGTAAAAACTTAAAATTTTATAAATTAAATTAAAAATTAATTTTAGCCACCTTTTCTCCTTCAAAAAACATAGAAAGCCGTTCAAGCATTCCATCAAACGATTGTCTTAACATACTTTGATATTCTAACCGATCTCCAGCTAATGCTGCCTCATTAACTCGAAGTGCAACGTCTAATTCAGCGATTAAAGTCCTTTAATTAAAAAATACAAATGATTTTAGTCTATTAATAAATTAAAATTTATTTAATTTACTTGAATGCAACAACTAAACGGCCAATTCCATTTTTACCATATCTTTGTTTTTGAGCAGGGCTTGTAAAAGATTCAGCATAGGCTAACAATCCTGCATTTACCTGTTAAAAAATTAAATGAAAATTTTAAAAATCAAAACTAAGGAAATATTTACATACAGTTGGACTAACAGAGCCTTGCAAAAATAATTGTAATTGCTTCAAATCTAATCGTTTCAATGTCTCTTTATCGTGAATTCCATAATGTGAACGAGGAATATCTGCAGCAGTAAGAATTCGTCGGATTTGACCAGCTTTGAAAATTAAACATTCACAGGCAAGTTCTAACGGTGAAAGGATATTTTCTTCTGTTTGAACAATTCTTTGACGACGACGAGTATTTGGGAATGGACTTTCGACTAAAAAAATATTTTATTTTAGAAAATCATTAAAAGTTACCAGTCAAAATTAATCTTCTCAAGGCTGTTCTAGCCATTTCTTGTTCATTCTCATCAACATTATTATCAATTAACTTCTCTTCTTGAATAAACGTCCAAATATTTGTATGTGAATTATACGCCATTAAATCTATTTTCTCTTCATTTGTTAAAGTATTTTCACTGATTGATTGGCTAGTGGAAGAAGAATCAGTATTGCTGCTACTTTTAGTACTTGTATTTTTATTTTTAGAATTATTGGGTGAAGAAGGTGAAGGTTCTATATAAGCAACTTGAATGAAAGCAATTGATGGATCTAGATTGGCCTCGTCTATTGATTTGTCATTTAAAATTTGGACACGATCATGCCCAAGAGCAAGCCGAACAGATTCAACCATATGATCGCACGCTTCAGCCAAAGAAGTAAGTTTTGGCTCTCGATATACCCATTCAGTTTTGTGTTCATCACTTATATTTTTAATAAACTTTAAATAAAAATTATGTAAATACCAAAAATGTGACTCTCCATGAAATACAACTTTGAAATAAGAACCCAAATGTCTTTTTGAGTTTAATTTAATTTCAGCTGCCCTTGAAGATGCTTGTTGAAGTTCGGCATATATCCCAACAAGATACTGGAACGGAAAAATATTTAAAACTTACTATCATAAAAAACCTTAAAGTCTAACTGCTTCTCAAAAATTGGAATTGAAAGACGATATATTGGACCAATAGCCTCATAACGTTCACTAAGTAACAATGTCCTAACCAAATCATCAACTTTTCGTGTAAAGTCTTCCTAAAAATAATTTTAAATTTTTTCTTTATAATTATTCTCACTATAGTAAATCCACCAAGTTGAATATTCCCAACAGTTGCATTACTAAAAAGCTCTTCCTCAACAGCGATTTGTTTATTTAAAATATCAAGAAGAGACCAATCTGTTTGAGCAATTAAACCCTTTGCTTGAAGCTCTTTTCCAATAATTGCGAGTGAATGAGCTTGGCAAACGGCAGCTTCCGAGTACCAACCTTGTAAAAATGAGAAGTTTTGGCAATCTAAAAAAGTAAAATAAACCTTCAGTAATATGTATATTTGAAAGAGCATCAAAGAATTCAGATCGTAATGCGGCAGAGCCACGATAGCTATCAGCTAATTGTACATGTAAATCAGCCATTTGTATCTAATATTTTGAAAATATAGATTTAAGTACTAGATAAAAAATTTACTGGATTATTAATCATATCAGTAATTGCTCGAGTTGCTTCAAGAACGCCACGAAGCTGTTTTACCAATTCCTGTAAATTAAATTTCGAGTAATTTCATTTAATTATTTGAAAATTACTGTCTAAAACAGTATTTAAAAAATTATTTTTATTAAGCTTGCAATTACAAAAAAATAACTTACTAAAACAGCTCTCTCAAAAAGTGAAGTAATAACAAGAGAAGAGGAATTAGTGGATTGTTGCTTATCATTTCCCCCAGCAACCAAAGATTCAATTTTTAGCAGGCCTCTTTCAAAACGAAAATTATCTAATTGTTTCTCGCTGAGTAAACGTGCTAATGCAACAGAAATTTGTGCTCCTGGACGGCCCAACTTTTCGGTTAGTAACATTGAATAATTGGAGTGATTCTTTTGTAAGTTTAAGTTGGAACAAGAAAGTTTTGCTTAAAAAATATTTATTAAACCTCAATTCAGAAAAATATTCTACCTGAAAATGCAGTAGAAGCATCAAATCCACCTTTCAAAATTAATTGTAAAAGAGCTGCTGCTGATGTTTGAATTCTTGATATTCGACTATTTAATTGTAAAAGTAGCGTTTTCACTAAAGTAGAGAGACAATCCAAAGGCCCAGAATGGAAGAAACGAGAAGAGAACTTTAAAAAAATATAATTTTAACATAAATAATTTACAAGGTTGACAAAAACAGCAAGTGCTGCCAATGTCTGCAATCTAATAGTTTCTGGCCAATTTTCACTGAGTAATTCCAATTCCAGATTTAAAAGACGAACAAAAACAGCATCATAATATTTAGTTGTATTATATTTTGTTTTTAACTTGAAAAATTTAATAAAATATTTGAACTTTTATTTACCGAAACTTGATTGGAAATTATTTGAATACATTCCAAAACAACTAATGCAACCTCTTGGGCCAAATGACAATCCATTTGAAAACTTGTCGTTGCATTTCCATCATCTACAGTGCTTTGAGCACCAAACGATTCTTTAAATAAATAATTTTTAATTTAGAAAACTTTTACATTTACAGAATTAATTTTAAATATTTACCCGAAAAATCATTTGTTGTCGCTGTTTTAGCAAAGCATCCATCTGATTGTGAATAGCATGTATCATAAT